GAGCGTGGGTCTGGTTACCTAGGTTCCACAATGCAACAGCGTACCCGATGTACCCTGCGTGATTCATGCAAAATGACAACAGCGCACTTGCTGCGCCTTAGTGCGGCGGCAAAGCGAGGCCTCATTTACAACTGTTGAAAGCCGGCAAAGATACGATCTCATATGTGGCCCTCGCGTGTCAGTGAGCTCACGTATTGTGAAGGACTGGTGCGACTGGAGTGAAGTGGGGAAACCCTTGGCCAGAGCTGCTGGCGATGACGGCACTGAAGCACCCAAGTCGTGTGCAGAGCTGGCAAGGTACTTTTACGCAACATCCCTGTCATGGAGTAATGCATCATTCACATACGATGTCAGTATCGAACATTCCGATATGCATTTCATGTACAGTCATGATTAGGTTATAATGCAAATAATCATGCGCATCATGCATAATGATAACTATGGGCATTATACACACCCAATGGTGAATAGCAGTATAATGCACACTCACATATAATACATTTACATGCATAATAATAACCATTTAACAATGTATGTCACAGCAAATACGCTATTATGTCGTGCATGCATACATAACAACAATGCACGCAATGTCGCCGTCAATGTACTCAATACAATTTCTTGTTTGTATGAAGGGATAACTCACCGGCGTGAGCCGGCGCTGTCACTCTCATTGCCTCAGGCGGTGGCAGCTCACCGTACGAAGTGTTTCCCTGTGCGTGCGTGCGAGCTCGTGTATGTGTGTCAACGGGCCCGCCGCCTCCTGCGGCGGCCAGCATGCTGACCGATGCCGTCCTGTTCCAGTCCGCCGCGAGAACGACCAAATGTACCGCAACATCAGCCACGTGCTGAACGACTCGTCCACGACGGCGGGCTTGGCGGACGGGCTGAGGGTCACGACCCCGCTGGACGACCGAGCGACGGACGGCTGACCCCGCCGACCCGCCCCGAGCTGACGGCGTCCTGACGCCGCCGCCGAGCCCTGAGGCACCGCGCGTCCTGCCGGCCGAGGTGGAGAGCACGCGCTGGCGGTCTCTCCCGCTGGCAGAAGCCGAGAGCACGCGCCGGCGGTCTCTCTGTCGCCAGCTGACGGAGGTGGGCGGTGGCGCTGTGACACAGGGCGTCCAGCGTCGGCGGCCGCGCGGCCGCGCAGGCGACAGGCGATCGGCAGAGTGCAGTGGCTGGCTGGCTGGCTGGTTGGTTGGCTGGTTAGTTGGTTGGTTGGTTGGTCGGTTGGCTGGCTGGCTGGCTGGCTGACTGGCGGCCGACGGCGCAGGCTGGCCTCCTGGTGTATTGCTGCAGCGCCAGCCGTCGGCACCGTCAAAACGGTCCGGTGCAAGACACGGCGCGGCCGCGGCGAGGCCATTGCCCTCGCGCAAGCTGTTTAAACTTCTGTGAATGCTTTGGCTGTTTCGGCTAAGCCTTCTATGGCTTCGCTGGAATCATTAGCGGTGTTTAGCGTCGCTGTTGACCGTTTATATAGGAGCCGGATGTCAATAGGTCGTTAGCTTCTAAAGCCACGTAATGAGGTATGGACCATGAAACCTTGTTCTCGCATGCCTGAGGGCTCCGAGCAGCTTATCCGTCTATGATGTGGCATGTACCTACTCCTCGTCTCTCAGTGCTATGTACTTAGTCTTAGCCAAGTCGTTGTCGGCAGGATATCAGCCATGTTCACGAAAGCTAACACTGCTTTCTTTTAAGATCTTAAAATGCTAATTCGGTTCTGGCAGCACTGCGTAACTTAACACCCAGAAGTCATTACCAGCGGCAGACAAGGACACGTCCCAAGTCCCCTCAGATAACTTGATTTGAGGGCTCGCCAACCGTTGTTTTAAGTTCACATATGCGGACACAGTCTGTGAGCTTCATTTGGTCTTTGTTATCCACCCACGCACTTGTTATGTGCCACCCAGTTCTTTAGCAGATTTCCGATAACGGCAGCCACGTACACTGCGGTATGAGGCTTCGATGAAAAACAAATGAGTCACATCTTACGGGAGCAATAAGGGTAAGGACATGATTCTACGTGTGATGATCATGCAACTGCTCATCTGCGCATTTTTGCCTCGTCGCAGGCGGGGAACAAGATTGAGCTATCGAGATTTGCGCACATCTTTTCACCGGTGAACTGGGCAGCCGCTTTAACTTGGGCGGCCGGCGGGCAATGGAGTCGTGACCTACACGGTAGGCGGACACGGCTGGGCGCGTGCCCGTCGTTGGAACACGCCATACTGTGGCCCTGAGGCTGATGACGCACGCCGGTCCCTATCATATCTGTGTAGACTGTGTGTAATACAGGCGTTGCGGCGGGCGCAGTGTGGTCGTTCTGACACTTATCCGATGAACGAGGACCAAGCCGGTGAGCAGCAGCCGGCCGCCATCGGGTCGGCCACCGTGAGCTAGCGCGGCAGGCTGTCTGTATTGCCCGTGTCTCGGCAGTGGTGGGCCAGTCGGCCGCCGTCAGGTCGGCCACAGTGAGCTAGCGCGGCGGGCTGTCTGTATTGCCCGTGTCTCGGCAGTGGTGGGCCAGTCGGCCGCCGTCAGGTCGGCCACCGTGAGCTAGCGCGGCAGGCTGTCTGTATCGCCCGTGTCCCGACAGTGGTGGGCCAGTCGGCCGCCGTCAGGTCGGCCACCGTGAGCTAGCGCGGCAGGCTGTCTGTATTGCCCGCGTCCCGACAGTGGTGGGCCAGTCGGCCGCCGTCAGGTCGGCCACCGTGAGCTAGCGCGGCAGGCTGTCTGTATTGCCCGCGTCCCGACAGTGGTGGGCCAGTCGGCCGCCGTCAGGTCGGCCACCGTGAGCTAGCGCGGCAGGCTGTCTGTATTGCCCGTGTCTCGGCAGTGGTGGGTCAGTCGGCCGCCGTCAGGTCGGCCACCGTGAGCTAGCGCGGCAGGCTGTCTGTATTGCCCGTGTCTCGGCAGTGGTGGGTCAGTCGGCCGCCGTCAGGTCGGCCACAGTGAGCTAGCGCGGCAGGCTGTCTGTATCGCCCGTGTCCCGACAGTGGTGGGCCAGTCGGCCGCCGTCAGGCCGGCCACCGTGAGCTAGCGCGGCAGGCTGTCTGTATTGCCCGTGTCTCGGCAGTGGTGGGCCAGTCGGCCGCCGTCAGGTCGGCCACCGTGAGCTGGCGCGGTGGGCCGCCTGTACTGCCCGTGTCCCGACAGTGGTGGGTCAGTCGGCCGCCGTCAGGTCGGCCACCGTGAGCTGGCGCGGTGGGCCGCCTGTACTGCCCGTGTCCCTCAGCAGCCGTCCGCCGTCGGGCCGACCACCGTGAACTGGCGCAGCGGGCCGCATGTATTGCCCGTGTCCCGACAGTGGTGGGCCAGTCGGCCGCCGTCAGGTCGGCCACAGTGAGCTAGCGCGGCGGGCTGTCTGTATCGCCCGTGTCCCGACAGTGGTGGGCCAGTCGGCCGCCGTCAGGTCGGCCACAGTGAGCTAGCGCGGCGGGCCGTCTGTATCGCCCGTGTCTCGGCAGTGGTGGGCCAGTCGGCCGCCGTCAGGTCGGCCACCGTGAGCTGGCGTTGCGGGCCGTCTGTATCGCCCGTGTCCCGGCAGTGGTGTGCCAGTCGGCCGCCGTCAGGTCGGCCACCGTGAGCTGGCGTTGCGGGGCGTCTGTATCGCCCGTGTCTCGGCTAGTGGTGGGCCAGTCGGCCGCCGTCAGGGTCGGCCACCCGTGAGCTGGCGTTGCGGGCCGTCTGTATCGCCCGTGTCCCGGCAGTGGTGGGTCAGTCGGCCGCCGTCAGGTCGGCCACCGTGAGCTGGCGTTGCGGGGCGTCTGTATCGCCCGCGTCCCGGCAGTGGGGGTCGGTCGACCGCAGTCTGTACTGGTCCCCGTGCGAGATGACGGGACCTCCAGACCAGATGAGAGCGATTGCCAGCCGCGCCCTGCGGGCCTCTCTGTGCAGTGTGGTGTAATCCACTTCCCTGACACACTTCGCCGGACCTCTGGGCCGCGTTCCCCATTACTGAACGCCGTCCACGAGTTGCAACCCATGACGTCAGAGGAAATGCGTCACAACGGTCCCTACGGCCTAAAGAACAGTCGCTTGTGTATGACGTAGGCACTACGATGTCACAAGTAGCGACTCAGGCACGTTTTTCGCCAAGGGGAACGCCAGCCAAGTGACGGTCGCTGTCTTGATACGTGCCCAGATACCAGGTTCTGCCAGTCCGGTCTCCTCTACCACAAAGAGGGCCACGGTATTTGCTCCATGTCACAACTGGCTGCTCTGGAGTACGCCTTCTAGAGAATACCGGGGAGACCCACTGCACCGTGCCGGTGGGCGCATCAGGAGACCTATGTCCGGAGGAAACCTATGCTCTCCAGGCCTGCGCCCAGGAATGGGTGTAGGTCCAGTGAGCCTAGGTTTCGTGGGCGTAGATCCAGCAATCATAGGTCTTTTGAGCGTAGGTCCAGCAAGCGTAGGTCTTTTGAGCGTAGGTCCAGCGAGCGTAGGCCTCGTGAGCCAGTGGCCTACGACAGCCAGAGCCAGAGCGTAGGCCAGTAGGTCCAGTGAGTGTAGGTCTCCTGGGAGTAGGTCTTCTGGGTTCTCTCTGTCTCTCCCTCCACACCGCAGTTGGCTACCACTGCACCCCAGCAAGCCACCCCCGGCCGTGCGCCCTCCGACAGCGTCCCGCTGTGGGCCCAAGAACAGGCGTGACCCAGCGCAGTGAGGGCGTGACGACACTGTCTGTGCCGCGCTCTCCGCATCAATATCAGAACAATTCCCATCGCCGACTTGCAGCACTGAAGACGTGGCCCACTTCGACACGACTTCGTACTCAACTCAGGATTCGGAATCGTCCATCCGGATAAGCCGCTGCAGCGCAAAACCGTGACGTGACTTGATTAAGATGATTTTGTATTATGAAGTCCGTGGACTAGTGTCACGAGATGTGCATGTGATGGGTTGGTAAGCGTGCTCACGCCGAGGGCGGGCGCACAGGTGACCGCGCCGCCGATCCGGTCACAGCTCAGCAGCTGTTCTGGCTGGGCCGACCATCACCGCTCCTCCGGCAGGGAGTCAGACTTCTGCACACCGTCCGCCGGCGGCGGCGCGTCGGCCTCCCGCGCACCCACACCTGGCGGACAGCAGCGGAGCACATCACACCGCCGGACCACGGCGGAGCACATCACACCGCGGGACCACAGCGGAGCACATCACACCGCCGGACCACAGCGGAGCACATCACACCGCGGGACCACGGCAGGGCACAGGGAGTGCGACACCCAGCACAAGGCACGTCTGACCCAGGTCTAAGCATGTCTAAAAACTAGATACGGAATGAAACATTTGAGGTTTAGAGTAAAACAACCACGATCTACGACTCAAAAACCAGATCTGCGATTCAACACATCAGACCGGGAGCAGACCATTCCCAGTCTAGTGCATATCACATCCGATCAACATAGCCGTAGCGAAAAACGGAATGCATTACGAATCAAGACGAAGCACGTCATACTCATGACAGAGCACATAATTCCGTCAATTGGCGGTGGTCGCCTTGAGTGCGAGACCAGCGGGATTTACTGACACCCACACGAACGCCAGTCACACCGGAGGACTGGGCCAGCAGCTCATGCACAAGGCAACGTGACTTCATTTGTCACAACACTTCAGCCGTAGTCCAATACTCTGGATGTGAAATATGGATGACGCACACGGAGAACTGACAGGGAGGGACGCTCCAGGTGGGCAGAAGGCCGCCATCGCCGTCAGCAAAGGTCACGACGCAGCCGCTAAAATGATGATGCCACGAAAGTTCACACTTCCGAGGGAAATCGGGCCCACAACCCAACCCCAATCCCCGCCCCGCCCCCGTGGGGCCGCATAGGAGCTGGGCCGGCCCGCTGAGCGAGGCGCAGACGGAACCCCGCCCAGCGCTCGCCCACCCACGCACCACACACGGGACGGGTCAGCGAAATGCCTCGAGTCAGGAGCAGAGGGGCGCCTGGCCCGACGGGTCGGCGGCTCACAAGCCACCACCGCACGAGAGAGCGGGCCGACGAACCGGCGCGGGCACACCCCACCTGCCCGGGCGAAACCGTGCGGACAGCGGGTTCGCCACAGCGCACGAAGTAGGAGAGCGTAGCGCGCTGGTAGTAGTCGGGCAGCAGGCAGCTCGATGTTGCTGATCACGGACGGCAGTAGGTGCGCCTTGCCCACGTGCGTGCCTGCGGGCGTTAGCGCCTCGGTCAGCACGGCGACCGAGAGGCGGCGGGGACCGGTCTGAACGGCAGCAAACCCTCATGTCCTGCACGCGGCGTCAGACGGCTCCACCCGGCTCGATCGCGGACGAGACTGAGGAGAGGACCACATCTTCGGGATATGTCTCCATCCGGCTCGACCGCGGACGAGACTGAGGAGCGGACCACATCTCCGGCAGACGGTTCCACCCGGTTCGGTCGCGGACGAGACTGAGAAGCGGACCACATCTTCGGCAGACGTCTCCATCCGGCTCGACTGCGGACGAGACTGAGGAGAGGACCACATCTTCGATAGACGTTTCCATCCGGCTCGACCGCAGACGAGACTGAGGAGAGGACCACATCTTCGGCATACGTCTCCATCCGGCTTGACCACGGACTCGAGAAGGACACGTCTTCGGCAGACGTCTCCATCCGGCCGACAGCGGACAAAACTGAGGAGCGGACCACATCTTCGGCGGAGGAGCTGCTCAACTCGGCCCCTACACACCGGCGGGATCCGGTCCGGCTGGTGGCCGGGCTCAGCCCACCAATCGACATGCAGCCGCCCTTGCTGACTCAATATGCGTTGATGCGGCTGGCCGTGGGAGGCATGCAACAGCATTCACGAGCTTTATATTGGCACACGTGTGCACCCACGACCTGCACTGCACCTGGCGGTGATTATAGGTACCCATAGGCGTATTCATGTAATCGGTCCTTTAGACGCATGTCCCCCCCGTTATCACACTTTCTATATGCAATTTAAGGGAAGTTCCATATTTGAAGACATCGATGAAAGCCTCACACAGGACGAAGTAAGCTCACTTATACTGTTGTATGCTTTTAAGTGAAAGACTGCTCTAGAAACACATCGTACGTTATCAGTTACGTCATCACACCTTGCACAGCAACGACTGAAAGCCAATTGGCAGCCGTTATGTCTGGAAATCGTGCTCACGAACGCCACATATAAACGACTCGACGATCATATTTTGTTGGCCCTGATTGCCCGCATGAATAATGGAATGCCAGGATTTGAATGACGCTTTTATGGTGTCGTGGATGCCTGGGTAACCTGAAATGGTCTCCGCGAAATAGTCTGGCACATCTGCGCGGGAGTGCGGCTCAGAAACTAGAGTTTGAGGTCCTAAAAACACGCGCTCGGGTGGGCGGGGTCAATTTGACCCTCCCCCAAGGTTTTTCAGGAAGGGTTTCCAAACGGCGCGGCGCAGCTGCGCCAAATGTTGCTTTGCTGTAGACAATTGAATAGCGGATCTTTGGTATTGCAAATTTAGATGTATCTTGTAAGGTTGCTTGCCTACGGCATATCAAAGTCAGGTCATAGATTCAGCGAAGAAAATTTCTAGAAATCGTTAAATCTCATGCAACAAAGGAGTGTTAAACGAAGCCATACATCTCTGTGATAGCTTCTTAAGATGCAACACAACTAACTGAACAAATTCCATTAACCTAGGGTCAGGTATGAAGGTCAGACCAAGATCAAAAGCAGCCTTTTTATTACTTTAGAACTCGCTGTAAGCGGTAGTTTCTGGTGCTCATTTCGGATTCACTGGAAACAGGAACCGCATTATACATCTTGCATGAACTTTTGAAAGGTCACAATTGGTCACTGACCTGAAACGACCCAGGGCAACATATTGCTTTTCGGAACAAACTGCTTAGCGTAATATTCGACGCTTATTCAAATGCAAAGCTCCAAGCAGTCTTGTGCGGGTTTGGTCACCGTGACCTTCTAAAGGTCAAACAAGATCAACGACCTTAAATGAGCATCAGAGTGAGCAGGAGTAATTCGGACACCAGCCTCAAGTTGTTTCACCTTATCTATTTATATTATTATACCACCCAAAGGTCAAGACCTAAGAGCCTACAATTTTAACAAAAGTGAGTTCACGTACAGGTTAATCTACTTTGTAAATTTGGTGTGTCTAGCTATCTTAATTTTTAAGATTTCAGAGGAGCAAATTGACCCCGCCCAACCAAGCAAAGGGTATTCGGCTGGCCGCCCGGGCACATGTTATAAAGAGCAATCCTGTGAACTACACCGAATGATTTTCAAGATGGCTATTTCATTTCACAACCCCATACAAATGTGCAACCCTCCCTTTAACTGATCTGAGACCGGCGACTGGGCGTACCTGGAGCGTCAAACCGGACCGAGGTGAAGTGCACGTGCAGGTGGTAGTAGGAGGGCTGGTAGTGGAAGTACACCCTCAGCTGCCACGCCGGCACGCCGTATTTCTCCTTAATCGCTTCCTGAAACAACGCCGCAGCCTGGTAACATCGCCCTGTACGGGCCCATCAGATACAGAGCACACGCACTGAACAGCAGCACTCCCGCTGCCCGCAGGGAAGCGGGCACGACCCACACCGAGCATCCCGGTCATCCGAAATGACAATATACCAATTCGGAGCAGCACAAATCGCATCACGAAACGGACAAAACACCGAACACAGTGCACGGCGTGTCACTGACCACCAACAGAGCAAAAACGGCGCTCCCCGTGACCGACACCCCACAGCGACGGCGGCATGGTCGGGCAAACTATTCGTGCGAAAGTATCACAGGTGGAATAATTGCTGGGACTATGTTCTCGTCTGGCGTCCCAGTAGATGAGGACGACAGCTCCAATAAATCCGTGATGCCGCCTCGTCCTAATCCTTCCGTAAAACTATTGCACGAAAGTATGTGACAGTTTTAAATGCGTATGGGGTAGGTGCTGTGCAGGGCTGTCACAACACGAGCAAAATGCGTGCATGCATCAACCCGGATAGTGTTGACGACACGTGCTTGGAACCACTAAAAGATTCCAAGACACAATCCCAAATCTACGACACGGAGCCGTAAGAGATCTTGGATCCACCCCTGAGATCTGTCCCACGTTTGCTTAACACAGCGACATATTCCGCAGGATTATTTTCTGCGAATACACGAGGTATAAAGAGCCCACCATTGCATGAAACCAAGTCCTGTCTGCATTTGTTGAGTCAGCCCTAATACAGTCTTAAGACGGATTAATGTCCACGGCCTTTTGTAAAAGGCCATGATGGTAACCGACGGGTATCCGCATTAAAATAGCGAGCCTCCGACTCACAGACCATCGCTGACATTGATCTACCTTGGCATGTCAGTAGTCTAACTGTTCATACCAAGAACTAGTTAAAATTGGAATTACATGCGAGCTGACGCAGGGTAAATCACGTCATGTCATTCAATGCCAACCGTTCGCGAATTCTGGCTTTTACCCACACAGGTCAGAAATAGCTTAAAATGCGAATACATTTTGTAATATGTATTTGTGCTGTATTTCATAATTCGACAGTCACGACGACGAAGAGCGACATTTATGCATCAGGCCAGCCCTTTAGACTGGGGACATGGTATGCTCCAATACAGCTTAGCTTTTTTCAAGCTAAGCCCCAATCCGATACCAGACCCAGTGGATCCAAGAGTAGATGTGGAGGGAGGGGGGGGGGGGAGAACCCATCAAAGTCGGCAAAAAGCAGTAATGCTCTTATTTCTCTGGGCGTCATTTGATTGCAACTGGCGGTATATTTGGGACCTGTCACCGCCGCACGGTCCTATGCAGGATTTTCACCAGAAAAACAAGCAAGATGGATGAAAGGGATAGTGTATCATTTGGCACAGGAGCGCCAGCTCCGACACAACACAGCCAACCACGGCAAAGAACGCCAGAGGCGTGCTTTTCAGAGCCAGAGACCACGACTACCGAGCAAACCACCCGTCAACACGCGTCTGGAACGCCGCCATTGACCCACATCCACCCTGCATAGTACGTGACATGGCCTGCAAGACAGAGTGCCCTTCACAGCTATGCAGCTCACAGCACGGCACTTTCATCACAGAGCACGGGTCATTACCATGTGTGCGCGCCGCCGGGCACCGGTCCCGGCAGGGTGCTACTGACCGTGCCCTTGGTCCAGATGTTCCTCAGCAGCGGCAGGTGCTCGGCCCGCAGGTCTCGGAGGGATCGCAGGTCCCGCCGGCGCACGATCGCCACCAGGTACAGGGTCTCCAGCGTGCGGCCGTCCCACTTAAGGTCCGGCAGCAGGACGAAGCCCGTCTCCGGGGCGATGTCCTCGCAGACGATCCGCTCCGCCTCGCTGCGGTGCTCCAGGATGTTGTAGACCCACTGCGGCCGGCCGAGAGACGGCGACATGAGCCGCGGCCGCAGGTCAGCCGCGCGGGGTCCGGCTGACAACACTACTGGACACTATACCGCCGACTGGGGAGCCACGGCCGCGGGTCAACCGCGCGGGCCCGGCTGATGACACTGCTGGATACTACAGTGACAGCTAGGGAGCCGCGGCCGCAGGTCAGCCGCAGGGGACCCGGATGATGGCACTGCTGGGCACTACAGTGACAGCTGGGGAGCCGCGGCCGCAGGTCAGCCGCGGGGGGCCCGGATGATGGCACTGCTGGGCACTACAGTGACAGCTAGGGAGCCGCGGCCGCAGGTCAGCCGCAGGGGGCCCGGATGATGATAGGCTGGTCATTTTAATGTCAGCTGGAGACAACGAGGATGCAAGCAACATTAATTTACTCTCAACGGTCACGAGGAACACACTCGAAGGCGTTCGATTTGAACACGAACAGAATAAGATGCAGTGTTATGACAGCATGGTGACATTACATTTCAACCCGGGATTTTGTAAGTACTCTCATCTCGGTTCCATGTCGTCATGCAGAAATATATGCAGGGGAGCAGGTGCAATACAAAATGCGAGATACTGATGGCGAGCTGATGATACTGATGGTCTTGAAGTTGGCAGCATACTTTTGACTCTACTTGCTTCTCACATATCAAAGTGGATGGATTGGCATTGCACATAGTAGTCTCATTATCAACAGCTTTTAGTCATTCCTAAAACCAATTCAGCACCAAACAATTTGAATTACCACTCATTTCCAACCTGAATATTCATGGAAGATTCTTTGAGATGTTCCAGAAGAACTTCTGAGTAAAGTTTCGGTGTTTCGTTCACCAAAATTGATTCTTGAGCAGTGTACTTGTCAATGTGCTTGTCTGTAGCTGGATGTATCACAGTCACTTTTAGGCCTGCCAGAAAAATGTCATACAATTGCAGAAAACAGGATTACTGTCACAAAAACACACACAGCCACTACACTGGGTGTCACTGAGTCTAATGTCATGCCACTCGTCCATCCACGCCGCCCTCAGTCGTGGCGCGGAAATACACGACAAGTCTAGTCAGGTGTCTCAGGCATAGAGTGAGTTGGCGTCTTCACAGCCTGTTGGCCCGGCAGCGCCTGACCACAACACACGAGCTGAGCCGGCACTTGTCGCCGGGCCGGTCCGGCTCAGGTCTGCCCCCACCAGCTGTGCCAAGGCTCATGTCTGCCCACCAGCTGTGATCCGGACCAGGTCTGCCCTACCAGCTGTGATCTGGATCAGGTCAGCCTCACCAGCTGTGATCCAGCTCAGGTCTGCCCCCATCAGCTGTGATCCAGCTCAGGTCTGCCCTACTGGCTATGATCCAGCTCAGGTCTGCCCCACCAGCTGTGATCTGGTTCATGTCTGCCCCACCAGCTGTGATTCAGCTCAGGTCCACTCTCACTGGCTGTGGTCCCACTTAAGTCTGCTCCTTCCAGCTGTGGTCTGGTTCATGTCTGCCCCACCAGCTGTGACCCAGCTCAGGTCTGCCCTCAATGGCTATGGTTCAGTACATGAGGAAAGTCAAGTCAGCACAAACAGGTCAGTGCTCACCAGTGACCACAAAACCTTGACCATATATGTGCATCACTTTCACAGCAGTAAACAAAAGTAGGGTTTCATAGTACTCCATTGGAAAAGCTCTTCCAATGAACAAACATCAATCATTTTTTATAATGTGACACAGCAGCCAAGTATAACAAAACTCAGCATGGATTTTTTGGCAGCCAACATCCCCCCCATAATTGGGTTACACACCATATGTTCACTGCCAGCCAACTCACCATTAAGTTCACGCCTGGGAAATCCTGTATAGTTGCCATATATGTCATTGTGGAAGGTCTTCTTCAAGCTGTTGCTGAACTCAAAATCTCTTTTGCACTTCCTTCAGAAATGCTGTTTTCTCAAAAATTAAACTGCTGGATTGACACTGCCTTTTCATCAGCTCTTAATGCTAACATTTTCTTGGTTGGGTCATCCTTCAATACTTGGGAACATGTGAACTTGCCAAGGTCTTCTAAACCCTGATGGATGTCTCCAGTAGCTATGATGGTTTCAGCATCATTGTCTTTTTTGAATTTCTTGGCACTTCCCTGGCCCTCCATATTAGTTCAAATCTGCAATTGGTTGTTGGGTCAGATGATAATCTCACAACAGCATGCTGTTAACTCACAAAAACTCTGGACGTCTTTGCTACACACATGATACATGGTGTAGCAGAGGTCAGCCCACCTTGGACATCTCACATCAATGCTCGCAAGCCAGAAGCATGTCTTAAACAGCTCTAGAACAAAAAGTACAAAGGTCCATTTGGTGAACTAGCTAACTTTTATGCTAGATGGCAGCTGTGCAATTGCACCAAGAATAACGATCATACCAAGAAGTCAAATCAGCTAAATCACGAACTGCAGAAATGTGAAAGTAAAAGGCTGACAAGCCAAATGGTGAACAGGCAAGCCAATCCACAACATAGTGGTAAGTCAAAAGTTGACATGCAAAATTACTGAAAGGCTAACTGGCATATCATTAGAAAAATAATTATGAAATGTCAAAGTGCCAAAAAAGTACATGAACTGATCGTGAACTGATTGCGGCCTAAGTTAATCTGGCTTATGTTTACCCAGCCAGACTATAGCGAGCAAATGAAGCCGCAGCAATATGTATATGCGTATATGTATTTATATTCCATATATATATATACATATATATACGCATTTACTTCAACACCACACAACGCGTATTCAATATGCTTCAACAAATGTGCATCCCCACCGACCCTCCCTCCAGACTCCTCGGGTGCAGTGAGTCCTGCGTATGGTGTCAATGAGAGCGATGGTTTCGCGGTTTTTGATGTATCATATATGCGCAGTAATTGTAAAAGGAGCTAAACAATCGACAGCATCTTTTGATAATCTCAATCTTCGACGCAACTGATAAACGCAAAATGTGCATCATTCCATGCTACTTAATTAATTTCTGGAAGTTTCTGGTATTTTGTTGCCTTTTGTAACGTTAGAAATAAATAAAAGGACCAAAATACAAATATCAGTTTGCAGGCACCCATATGGTGCAGCCTATGAGACGGATCATTACAAAACCTGCACCGATCGATGTGCTATAGTCCATATTATATTTTTTGAAAACATGATGATCTGTTACGTGGCCAAATGTCACTAAAAATGCCTAAAACAACCAAAATTGGCTGCCGACAACCACATACTAATTGTCCTGTTGTTTATCTAATGAATGGAATAGACGCGACCTTGATGAATGTAATGTTTTGGTTGGAGTCTGTAGATAAGTGTTCTAAATTTAGAAGTGGGTGAAGCGGGTAAATTTGTCATTTTCCAACAGCTATTTCCGCGTCGTCTGGTGCTTGAGTGCTGCTGGATATTGATGGTGGAAATCTTTGTCAAAACGTGGATAATTGGCTCCAAATCAGAGGATTATGGAAAAGGTTTGGGGCGTTGATTTCCTGCCGGCATTGCGTGGTTTCATGTCAATATGTGATCGCCGTCCGCACATGTACAAGTTGGTGTTTTGCTCTAGCTCATTTTGCAATGTTGCTGACCTACAGATACAGATATAATGGTAGAAGGCATGAAATGCTTACTCATTTGTTGATTTTCTGTTTAAGCTATGAGTTAAATCATTAGATCATTAGGGGTGTAACAGTGCTAGTGAGGTGAATATGAAATATGTTCATTTTGAGACCTGCTCAGGGTTTCTGAATTTTGTCTGCTTTAATGTGTAGCTCATCTAAGGGCATGTTAAGTGTCATACAGATTTGGCCCCATCAACAGAAGCTATGAAATAAGTTTGAATTGATTAGTTTTACTTAAGTAAAGACCTAGCTTGATGTAGTAGATGTTCCTAGGTGCTTGAAGGTCACATAATTTGTCATTTTTAATACTGCTGTGTTCAGGCAGGGTGGTAAGAAATCTAGTTATTCTAATTAGGGATGATTTTAGCTTGATCTGAGGGGCTGTCCATAAATTTTGTTAACGGTTTTGGGAGGATACACATATTGTGATTGGAGTTTTTTGGTAAACAGTGTCTGTGACCTACTGGGTGTTCTAGTTTTTAAAAAAATGCTAGGGCTAGACCCTTTAAATTTGATTGCACAGTGAAGCAGGTGATGTCTGGTTCAAATATAACACATATTTGTGGGAACCTGTTAACCTTCACATGACTTTTATTTGTGCATAATCTTTTCTAGGTGACCTCTTTCTGGGGTGGTTACATTGTGTTGAAAATATCTCCACATCAGTGCAAAATCCATTTGACATGATTAGCAAGAAATGCAAAAGAAATCAGAGGTGTTTCCTTGCCATTACAGAAAGGCCATGTTAACCAGCTTTTAATGTTGGATTCATTAAGATTTTAGCACAATTTGAAACTATACTGGAGTGCTACATGATGCTGCTAAAATCTTCTCTCTCTCCCTTGTTATGGTTCTGCAATGTGTCATCAAAATCTTCCCAATTTTCCCTCAAAAAGCTGAGCCCCCCTTTTTAAGTGTCCCATCTAAAGTAAGCAAAGAAATTTATAGTCATAGCAGCAGAGGCATTGCTTAAGATTCATATTTCATAATCATATTTTGCTCAGTATCTAAAATCATTGAGTGTAGCCTTGATTCACAACCAATCTCACAAATCCATAACAAGGAACAATGATGTCTTTACAGAAAACATAAATATCAAAGAGATCTTCTTTGCTTGGATCAATGCTGTCATCCATGTTCCATTGCCTCGCTTCCCTGGGAAGAGCCAGGTCACAACAGTTGGGGCCAGCTGTACTGAATTCCAGACACCTGTGGCCACCAGCCACCCTCCCAGCCAATGGTGATGTGATGTGGCACACTAATCACCATTCATTATTGTCACCACCCCCTCCCATGAGATGGTTGCTGCTATGATGTAGGCCCCACTGCCCTTCACTAATCTGACTCATCAGGTGATGCCAGTGTGATGCAGACCCAGTGCCTTTAAAAGTCACTCAATTGGGTGTATAGGAGTGGAGTATAAATTAATGCTACCAGACCTCAGACCCCTCAGCCACCTTTGCCCCTGCCTGCCTGATTTGCCAAGCCTGAAGCACTTATAGACTGGGTTGACCACTGACCTGCTCATTTTTGTTTGGCCAATGCTGAGCAAAGGGGGGGGGGGGACACAGCAGTGAACCCCACTTGATGGCCATGGACAGGATGAAAAATATCAGCATCTGCATCACCCAAGTGGCCAAATACCATCACATTGTCAGGGCTCCACCACTGCCTTCCGCCAGGTGTCGTCGGTGTGATGTAGCCCCAGCGTCGACCGCCGCCGCACTATGCCGCGCTCACGCTCCAGCGACTCTGCGCAGTATGAGGACCTGTCCGGCGCTGGCCGGCAGCGGCCCCGCCCGGCTCCTGCTCAGCCAGGTGGCGGACGTGCGCGACCCGGGGCGACCAGCTCGAGATGACGGGCCTCCACCGCCGGCGTGGTGCCGGACGGGAGTGCTTGCCGCCACCGACTGGGGCCGTTCCGGCGCGGGGGCTGCAGACCACGGAGTTCACTTGTGCAGGTGTTGTGGCCGCACTTAGGTGCCGCGGTACGGCTGGCCACGGAAGGTCAAGCGGTGTCGGTCGTTGTCTTGTACCGAGGGGCGGGGGACAGTGAAAGAGAAGACCAAGGCGTGCCACCGCAACCGCCGCCGACCGGTGAGGAGCGGAACAGGTGTAACAGTGTAATGGGGTTCTGGGATAGCTTGCACCTTGAGAGATGTGGTGCATGCGCTCTGTGACATTAGTTGTATCCGTGCAGTGCGCATCGTGACATCTTCTGATCCTGATCGAACAACTCCCAATCCAGCTCTGACGGCGTTCCGTCTTCGGATCGT